TAGGGGCGAACATGCTACTTACTAACGTATCTAGGACATGGGCCGCTATTGGGATGATCCATGGGCCATAGCGCAAAATGAAAAGCCCGCCATAATTCAATCGTTCGCGCAATTCAGTACACAGTTAAACAGATTATCAAATCATCACATACCTTTATTTGAGCTTTTTTTTCTGGCACTTCTCTTGGTCACTTCTGTGTCAGCCGTTACAACATGGCTGGTGCTTTCAAAAACCACCCGCTAATTAGAAATGCCAGTCTGTAAGCTTTCTTTTATTCAAGAAGGCGTTTTATCTCAATGTCACACTTGCATCTCTAAAAGTCCCCTATGTTCTGAGCTTTGCCCTATTGATTGTAATACATTGCATGAAGGGCGGAAAAACTTCACTAACTTCGTACTACACAGGGCTAGACGATGCTCCACAACAACGATCGCTATTCGTAAGAAAATAGACCCAAAAGAGGAGGCTTTTAGTAGATAACAGATTCACGGTGTTGGCGTTCTACAGTGCCTACTCCCTGCTACTAGGCCATCTACCCGGATTCCATGTAATCCGTAGAGTCGTGTGGAAAGTATCGCCTGTTCACCTTATTAGCACTATTATATAGGTCTTGAAACTCTTTCCATGTATCTTGCAGAAAATAAGAATGGAGTAGTTCCCAAAGTTGGATGTCACTTTTCACTCTTCTAGTAGGATTCCGTGATCTTAAGATTCGGTAATCTTCCATGGAAATCAGGGTAGCTGTCCATTTTGGACCAGATTCGGTGCCGCTGTCACCAATGTAGCATTCTAGGCCTTTTCTGGGATTATAATATGCTCAAGTGCTGTGGAATGGCATCTATCACAAAAGTGCGGAGGATGTGTGGCTATTGGCATGACCAGGAGGTCATGTCACAGGGGGGAAGTACAGCCTACAGAGTCTCAAGTGCTTGCGTAGTTAAACGCTCATTTAAACAAAATATCAAAACACTACTGAACTCTTAATTACTTGCCATCCCGATTAAATAGTAGAGAAGACTAAGACATTAGAATTTTGACAAACCACGACAAAAACGTGAGTTATGACATGCAGGTGGGTTCATTACAAGGAATTGACCAAGTAGAATAAGGCAGCCACGATTACCAAGTTCCAGAAAGTTTGGAATGTCTAAAACTACCTTAGTAGTTTTCGAGGGTTTTAAGCACTCCCAAGAGAAATTACCTGGTTTTCCTGGTACACGTTTGCGATTTTTTAGTTACATCCTTGACTAAGTTAGTGCACTTCCACTGAAATAGTAAAACGAGTAGGAAGAGTACGAATATTTTCTGGCACCGATGACTAGAAATACCTAATTATTTCTTTCTGCCTTTAACTTTTTCCTTAAGCTTTAACAGATCTTAGGATTAACCAAGTAGATTATTAACAAGAAAAAAGTGCCGGATTTAAAAAACGCTCTCTTAAAGAAAGAAGAACTGTGTCTAGCATCGTATCTTGCATTAGTTTGGACCTTTTCTACAAAAAGTATGTCAACTTATCCCTTTTCATTGAAAGGTATAAATTGTTTCACACTTCCATTCTAGAATTAACGCGACCTACTCCGTGTTGATTAACCACCGACCGCAGGGAGAGATCATGGCACGATGTGAGTACGTCCACATCGATGGTTCTATGGTCTCTGATGCGATCCAAATCAAGCAGGCCACTCCACCTGCTCCTCCGAAGGTGAGTCAGTGAAGGTGAACAGATAAACTGACGAGGAGGGAAATGAGCAAACTACTTGTCCATTTGTAAATCCAACTCAGATTGTGGCATTGTGCTCGGGCCCTGGTGCTGTCATTTTTGGTGTTACCAATCCTCTGGTCTCGGCCGAGAATGAAGCCACCGACAGGATTGTCAATCAGCGAGTTCTCTTTGCGCCCACTGCTGTGAGTTTCATTTTCACAACAAATTTTTATAAGTCATTCCTATATGAAGTTGCTTCAACTGCTAATGTCTTCCTCTCACTAATCTGGTGCCATTATCAAAGGTAGAGAGGTTTGAAGTACGTGGTTTCAGTCACTTACCGCCAAATCTCGGTTTCAAGTCCTCTTTGAGGATATTGTGAGGCGCATAGGAATGAATAGTTCATGATTCAAAGCCCTTAGTGAAATTGGTGGAATCAAAATTTCACGGTCGAATTCTGCAAAGATGGAAGAAGAGCCTTAATGCTAGCAGGGTCATTGTTAATGCACACAATTTCATCCACGATCATACCGTTTTACCCCTTGTTCTGGCATTTTTTAAGGATCTTCAAAGTCATCAAAAAACAATTTTAATCTTTAGGTTTGTGCAAAGTTATTTTCAGACCTGATGGCAAGTCAAGGGTGTTCAGAGCCGCTCCTTCAGGTGCCCCAAAAAAGTTGTCGTGATCCCCTTTTCTTTTACAATTTGTTAGGAGTTTTAATCTTCTCGAGGAAATTCATTAAGCATCTCCATCTTGCTGTCCGCGCTTTAATGGGGTAAAGTTGAGACAAACGGGTAATGGAAGACTGTCTCCTCTGTTGTGGAATTTACGCCAAAAATCCGTAGCCATCTTTACTTCAAAAGTCGGCTTTCACAGGTGTTGCCGCGTTGTAAGCAACCAAATTCCTACCGAACTATCCAACGAAAAATAAGTTGTGAATCTCAAACCTCTTTGAAGTAGTTATTCCTCCCTCAATATAATTATCTTGGAGACCAATCACCTGGATGACTCAATTTTGGTCTTCTCCCTACTTTATCGCCTTTCGAAATGGAGATTGATGTGTTCTTTCAAAACACCCGCCTATTTGGTTTTTGCCCCCTAGGTACACACATTCACGATGTGTTTTTTTCAAGCAAGACATCTTCACGGATTGGATTGTTGCAAATAAACGCAGATATTTAATGAAAACTTTCCTCAATTTAGAGCTTCCTTGAGTTGTCAGTCGAAAGTCATGATAAATTCTGGGATTTGTTTTATGCCTGAGATGAAACCTTACTTGCAGGGTGAGTAAACGAACCGTTGGTGGAAAGATTTGCATCTTTGGCGCACCTGCCGCAAAAAGCGGATCTTAGAGCGCCGCCGCCTCCTCCCATCCAATGAAAGTTGCACACAAGTTTTGCAATTACCTTTCCATTAGGGTGAAATTTCCCTTGAAAAACTATCTTTTCCCCTTCAGAAACCATTCTAGAGTTTTTAAATAGGCATTTAAGGACCTACTAGGTAAACGGTTTCGCTCTAATTATCCTCTTTCCTGCGATATGGAACGTTGCCCCTGCGCATGACAGGATACGGTTCCTCTCGCTTTTATAATTAAGCAACAAACGCAATGCGCTTATCATTTGGGCACGGCACCAGACATACGTCTTGAAGGAGAACAGAAGATTGGATTGTTGTCGAATTCTGGCGTGATTCCTGCTTCTGCCGCTACTACTGCTTCTGTCTGACTAACCAACTGTCTTTGCAATTTGGAGTCAATTGTCAACCGCAGACAGAGGTGGTTGGGTGCATGGATGGAGCAGCGTGGGTAAATGAAGTTCCTTATGTAACCAAGACATAAACCCTGTGAATGTTTACTTCCATCTGCGCTGGACTTCAAGTCCAGTACGATGATGGGATGCCCGATTGCTCATTACTGATAGGCCTTAACGCTGTAACCGCTTCAAGAATAGCCGCACATCCTACATCCGACCAATCTGCCAAAACGCGAAACGCCTGACGTGCTGGAAACCGTTTCTGTGGCATGAGCGAATGGGAGTAGAGCGGTTTGGTGGAAATAATGAACAGGATGTGATCATTCACGTAACCAAAAGTTTATACTTTCGAAAAGTTGGCGTACTTGATGAAGTTGTTTACCTATGATGGTCCAGCTGTGTCGGTAAGTCTCTACACCGATACTGCTTCTAAATGTTATTTAAATGTCGGTTTCTTTTCTACAAAGGCCTGTATAAATGTCTGTAATGAAATTGGCAATTACTAATACACCTTCCATCTCGCATAGGAATTTCATTCCGCCTCCAACCTGGCAAGCAAGATTATCATTTTGGACAAGAACGGTCAGCCGCGCTCCGAAAAGACGGTCGATGGCGACGAGGAGGCAATTCAAGAGGCGCTTCTGACCGGAGAACTCGATCAACAACAGTTGCACCAATCGGGTCAACAGTCCTCGGAGAGACCTGCCCTCTCCACCATTCCTCTGACCAATCTGCTGCCCGGCACCAACTACACCTTCGAGTGGTCCTCGGCCAATCAGTTTCACCTTACCACGACCATTCAATTCGTCACCGCCACTGCACCTCTAGCCGCTCCAAGTAAACCCACGGTGCGTATGTTCTGTTTGACAGTGTTCATCACTCTTATAGGCTTACGTTCGTGCTCTTTTGCTTTGTACATTTACACGGAAATATTTGCACGCTTCCTGAAAATTGTCCACGTTTGTTTGAATGGACCAATTTCTACTATTGTCCTAATCATAAGTCCCCGTTGAAATAGTCAAAGTTTTTATCAAAACATTAAGTATTTACGTGCTACTGACATTCTTCGATCCTCTCTACGAAGTAATTGTCCAGAAAATGAGGTAATTAAAATCATGCGTGGTCTACGAGCAACGCATCAACTCTTAAAACATACTGTAAACATGTTCCGTTTCACACTCTAACCACCCCTCTTGTGACCTGCCACGGAGGCTGATGAGTCGATGTTGTTGTACTAACCTCGAAATAAATGCGCTTCTGTTGTAACATGTTGCCTTGCAGCATTTTGTGTTCCTTGTTCCAACTTCGAGTCATCTGCGAATCTCCGTCTTTCTCGACGATCCTTGCCCCTACGACAACGGAGGTAGAGCGGAGCTAAATAATATTCTGATTCGTTACCGCAAGGCCGTGCATCAATTGGGCCAGGGCTATGGCGAGGAAAGGAAACTCCTCGGCTACGGAAATTGGTCCAAGACGCTGGTGTGCTTTCAGAACCAGATGAAGGATCCAAGCGACTTTCAACTACAACAACAGCAGTCCATAAAGTGGTCCGGAGACGCGGTCATTCAATGCGACGTCCAGGTGGAGGATCCTCACGCAGATTTGGAGGTTGCCGTAGCGACTATGAATCGTTTTGGTGTCTCTCCGTGGCTCTCGTCCATTTATCGAGCCTCGGAGGCCCTCCATGCCGCGTACTTCTATACCGCTGGTGCTACGCATCCGATTATTGCTTCAGCAGTCACTGGCGTTGTTCTAGTTCTACAGCTTTTTGCGTAAATCTTATTTCGTCCAAATTTATTCCATCCCTAGATCCTCACTCCCTAGTGCTCGCATTCCTCCTAGCGCCCAGTACTTTAACGTCTCTTCTTTGTGTCTGTCCTTGTCTGTAGTATCCGTTGTATACCGCTACAAGTTCATTTGCAGTCTGATCTCTTCCTCACTTCGACTGCTCAGACGAATTATGAGAATTAAGTATGACTTTATGCATAAATTGTATCTACTTGATTCAATAACGCGACAACAAAGTGCATTTAACTGGTGTTTTTGCACATTTGTGATTCAGTTGTCTTCTTCCTGTCTCTATCTCATTCAATCTCAATTAAAGCAGGACTTTATATTCTTGTTCGCAAATCTTTTTTATAATATGATATCCTCAGGAGTTGGTGTCGTGGACCCTCAGCCCTTCGGTTTAATTGTTGGGAATGACATCTTGCAGTTTACGACTTCATCTCTGCCGACAATCAACGGGAGTAGTTGCGTCAACTCCCAGTAAGTATGGCAATTCAGAATTATCAAGTAAGGGTCCCTAATGGCAAAAATTTGAATTATAAGTGCCAGACTTGAGAGAAAGTAGGTTTTATTTAACTGTATTGGGGAAATTGGAGATGATGGGCTTCGAAGATGCAGACCGCGACATCCTGTTTACCCCTAAGTTGCTGGGACAGACTTGGCAGTTGTGTAGTGCTAATACGATGCCAAAGAACGAATTAAATGTGGAAAGATCTGATATAGAGTTAGTAGTTCTATAATATGATTATACGGAATTTGTCCATTGTGAAATTGCTGCTTTTTGTAAGGCTGTTTGTCACGGTTGTGTGACAGGTGGACCGCCTTGACGTCTACCGAATGGATTTGGATGTCTTCATAGCGTGGTCCGGCCTCGTGGTTAAATTCCACTTAACTTGCCTGTTGTTTAAATAGTTTACATGAACGAAGAACCACTGAGAACGGAGATGACGGCATTTACATCACACAACTTCATGACCTCTTTGTTTTTGGGGAGGTTGGGGTAAGTTCACGGATTGAAAAGTGAATTAGGACAATGGATTATAAAACAATGAATAGCGGATTGCCACCAAATGTGAGACCTGATGAATCAAAGAACTTTTAACCAAAGCCTCTGGAATCGCTGGTTTTCATGTGGTATTTAAGACTTCCCTGATAAAATCTCCCATCGTCCCTTATAAGATGTTTTGCGTCGGCTGAGGTAAACGACACCTTGTTGGACAGTCATACCAAGTCCCAATTCAAGCGACTGACGGCTAAAGTTGAAGTTTTGTCTTTCGCACATAGAATAGCTTGAGGTAAAGAGCTTGCGGACCGTTTCTAGTACTTTACCTTGGTTTGACTCCAATTAAAGTTTTAATATTGTTCCTACTATGTACAGGTGATGATGTGACCTCTTTTTTCCTGACAAATTAAGTTAGATATGTATCTCTTTGTAAAACCTTTTCTTCAACTAAAGTGCAAACTAAACTAGTTGCTTATTAACAAAGAGCCAATCCTCCGATCGTCGGTACTGTAACACCCACTGACACAGCTCATTTCGTCTTTGAATTCGACGGAGGTCTCCACTACTTACAACAGCCTTAAAACTACCAGTAAAAGCGCCACAGTCGTAAAATTGAAAGGCAGATCCACACGAGATACCGAGTGAGGGAATACTCGCCCTCTATGAAATATTCTCTTTCCACTTGGTAAAAAATGGAAATTATCAACCCAGGTTGGCCAAAAATTCATTTTCATAATGGTGACCCCCTATTAGCACGTTTTTGATGATAACAGTTAAAGCTAGAACCCAGTAGACTTCTTTTTTACCGCTTCGTCAGAGGCGCCTCCTATCCACGTATTCAACGTATGACTGATTCATCAAATTGCGATTTTGTCACTTGTTCGCTAATGTGTTTAACATGAAAGCTGTGGCTTCTGTACTAGGCGGAAATTCCATTTGGTTTTTTACCTTCAAGGAATTTTTAGCTAAATAGTAGGTTTTAATTTACAATTTCATTGCATTTTGTGAACCAGTACCGACGTTTTAAGTATACCTTGGAGCAATCTGCCAGATTAAACACAAATTCATCTTCAACAGTACCTCCAACTGACAGCAAAGTATCCCCCAATCTGATGCGACAGTCAAATCATCCCAAGCTGTGTGCCGCATTTGTATTGTCATCGTTGCTTGACTACGGGCATTCAAATGTTAAATTGTCGACTGAAACGTCAAATTTTACTATTCTTTTCCCTGCCACCTGCAACTTCTTCTCTGTGGCCAGTATGACTAGGGCTGAGTGATTACATGGGTGTATTTACCGATTCACGTGGCCAAAGTGCCAAGGCTTTGTACAATGTGAGTCAATTTCTAGGATTTGTGCATCCTTGAGATATTCAACTGTTGGATTTCGAGTTTGTTATTCGTGCAATCAGTTCTACTGCTTTGTAGCTAAATGCCATCATCACTTGTGTAGGTTTTAGAAGTCGCTGATCTTCCACTTCGTTTCGCATTCATATTTGTAGCATGTGCGCATTAGGAAATTTGCCTTCCGTACTGTCAAGATTCGCGCAAAATATCCATTCCCCACAAAAATTACTTTCGTTATGCAACCAATGGTGCCAAAAAAGTTATTACCTATCCTTCAACCAGAGTGCTTAAATTCCATCGCTAACCTAAGCGATAACAAATTCCACCGTCTGCGCCATATCTGAGCTAATTCCCACTGCGACGGTAGACACCGCTACATGGCGACGGACGTAATCTTCTCGTTTTGTCCTTAGCTTGTCGAGAACAGTAGCTCAAAAGAATATTTGCCATTATTTTAGTTAAAATATGTGTGCTAAATGCACGCCATTGTCTGAGGCTGAGTCGCTTTTCACTCAAGGGATGTCGACAAGCAAGTCTTAAAAATAATAGTTTGGAATAGTAAACGTTAGCATTGATGTATAGGTTCAGTTTAAAATATGAGAGATGGTAGAAAGTTAAAAAAAATGATAAAAGTTAAAACGAAAGTTGATAAAATCGCTTAAAAATACTAAATACGTCATTAAATGCCTAATCTTGAACGTGATCAGCTGCACAGCAACAGAGTAGTTAACGGGATAGCATTTCGCTCTTTCCAAATCTATATGTACATTCTAAGGGACATATCTCACTTTTTATTATCCTATACCATTTTCGCTTAAATAAATTACACACACTAGGCGAAGGACAAGTGAATTTTGTTAGTGCTGATTATTATCGTTGAATGGAATCACAAAGAGACATATTTCCGTATAGGTGCATTGGAGGGACGGTGATAGTAGCGCCCTCTGGCAACCCCTGAAAAGAATACATAATGCTTGGAAAGAATAGGAATTCTCGATGTACAGTAGGGCTTGGGGCTTATGACATGGCCCGGGGGCCCTCAGTGACCCATTGCCTAAACCGAGAGTTAAACAAGCAATTAACGCATTATTATTGCCTCTTAGAGGAGGAATAATCAGTGCACGAAAACAGTGCAGTTGCACTTTAATATATTTTTAGGTCAAGGGTTAAATATTGATGGATATTCTCTTGAATAGCATTGACCGGATTCCAAAATAATTGTGGATTAAACTGTTATTTTTTGACTTAAGCAGTTGGTTACGCACATAGTAAGAGTAATTATCAAAGTAGACGTAAAGCTGTTGTGCCATGCAATAATAGTTGGTATTTTTGTAATGCCGGACTACGACCCATTTTGTTCATATTGATCAGTACGAACTTTTCAATAAGTTTGCCCAATTTTTAAATATGGTGTTTGTGATGGTGGGTAAATGGGCTCTACATTTGTGCACACTAAAACTATCGAGAATGCACTGATGACCGAACCAAACGCTAAAACTTAATTATTTTATCCGTGTCTGCGTTATATTGCTTTTTGCGCTGTTAATTTGGGTGTCACATAAGTGGGCAGTTGCATGACTCTTGTATGACTTAAAAGTAGTATACTTACGTCTTTAAGACTAATTTTATGCATTACTGTTAATAACGGTTTGTATTTTATAGCATTGGTTTGTGTTTGGGGTGAGTTAAATGATTCTTTAGTATATTGGTGCAGCCTGAATGACCTAATAAGTGTTCTGTTGTTAACTTAGCCTCAATAAATGGACCGCACCTCGATTCTAAAGGAAATAATTAGGGCAAGAGTGAAAGAATACCTGAAACCCTTCGACTTAGATGAAAATGTGAATTCTGCGGCAGAACTTAAGAGCATTGTCGAATCCCGCCCGTAATTTTTCCGTTGTTTATTCAATTCACCTTTTCTATTTTTCGAGCACTCTTTACTTGTAGCAAATTTGACGTTTCTCCGAAACTGCCAAAGTGTACACAACAATTTTTTGCTGATGCGTGCTTAAAAATATGCAATCATAACCAGTTGAAGCGCTTTAATATGCTTAATTTATAAAATTTCCTCCTGGTGATTTGCATTTAGTATTCTTATCGCTACTGCACGGTTTGCTATATAACCATTTTTTACTTGATAGTCATAACCGAAACAACCACAACTGCATGTGTGACACTAGTTTTTTAGTTTTATAGCATTTGTTTTGTGAAAGTTGTCCCTTTATTGTTCTACTTACAGATTTTACGAGTTTCGTCAAAAACTCCTTCGAGAATTGCTTGAGGTAGTGCAGAGTCGCGAAGATATTCCAAAGGTGGATAAAGAGACTGTGACAATTCATTCTCAAGGTTCCCCACTCCGGGTTCCTGAGAAGATACGTTTTCATCAACCCCTTAGCGAACCAGAGTCCTCCTTTAGCAGTTCTTTGACTCAGGTCGAACATGCTATCATTCTGTTTGTCATATTTGTATGAGTTATATCAGAATGGTTATTTTAACTCAAAGAAATATTGTAGCCTAGATCTTTTCAATGGAAACTTTTTCATCGAATTAATAGGGCATCGACTACCTTTGCCTTAATGACAAACACTTGTCGGAGTTGGTTCATTCACTGGATCCACGCTCCTACGATGTCCAGCGTAGACGTGAAGCACTTCGGCAGATTGTGGCGACCCCTTCCTTTGAGACTCAGGTCTGCGATGCGTGGGAAGCCGCTCCTGAGACACCTACAGCTGAGAAGCGATTAGTTGATCGTCCGGAGAGAAATGAGAGTCGAAATTCACAGGAAATCGCCTTACCTGTTTATGGAATTCGACAAGGTCTCTACGATGCTTTAGTGGATGAGGACACCGAGCTAAATGTGAGTCCAGTTTTCCCGTTGTACTGTCTGAAAGTAATACTTTCATTTGTAATTCGGTGTACATAAGGGTTTTGGTAAAATTACGACTTCTGAGTACATAAGACACCACAAAACAATTCATCGGGTGGGAATGGCTTTTATTTTCTCGACACAGCCCATTTAACCTCTTTACACCTATCACAGTATTTATTTGATACCTGGAAGCTAGTCTTTGAGTGATAAGATTTGGCCGCAGAGCTGAACCATCCCAGTTCAGTCTGTGGAAAGCTGCATTGGTATTTAGCATGCGTTATATCTCTGAAAATGCAATTATTTATGAACAGCGGTGTTAATCGTTTCCGCAGAAAAATGCGTCTCTAGTGCGTCACTGAAGCGTTCAGGATCGGAGAAATATTTCATTGTCAGGATCATGTGTTAAAAGCCTTCACAACCAGAATCGTACCAGATAGACGTATACATCATTTAAACGTCTTGCTGCTAAGTAGCTGGGTGTAGCACCAATGCGAGGACTGTGACTGAGGCATTCGTGGATCCTACGTTTTCATTCGCACGAGGTCTCACCATCTCACGCTGTTTCGTGGTTGTTGTGCGTACTAGCAGGAGACACAACCATTATTTTCATATGCCATACCACCATGCTGTCATCTCTTTTATAGCCGTGGAATAAGAGTCTTAGTCTTACCAGGACATACATTGTATCCGCCAAATACAGCGTCCTTCAAATGGCTTCAGATTTAGCTCTTCACTTTTTTATCGACACTCTAAAGGATGCACTTCGCTGAGTTTAAGTTCAAGGGTGTTCATCCTTTTTTAGTTTTTTGCATTGAAGTTCATAGCCAAGGCGTTTTCATCAACTTTTGGCAATGTCAAAGAATGCTATGCCCTCTTTGGTAAGTTATAAATCATGAAACATACCGAAATACCTCATTAAGTCTTCTTAGCAAAGTAATGACCGTGTAGCCTCTCTAGACTCCGGTTTTCTATATACAGAAAGGCTGAGACTATAGGCGTACCACTCCGGAGAGCCCGTGTGGTCAAAAATTTGTTAAAATAAATCAGGCTTAAGTTAATTTATTTGATCTTGTAGTTGATTATCTGGAGGAGAAATTCACCACAGATGGAAGTAGCATACCCACCATCTCAGGCGGTTTGGATATTAGCAATAGTGAAATTGAAAAGTTACTTCGTTGTGTGAGTTACTAATTGTAATGTTTTAAAACTAGAAAAAGTGGTTCTTTTTTAACTCAGACTTGCATTCAAAGTGTTAATATATTTACGAACCTTGATCACTAGGGTGATAATCACATTTCAATTCAAATTTATGATGTTGTTAGTTTTGCCTTCTGCTCGACTTTCACAAAAAACTGCCCAACTGCTGGCTTCGCTACTCCGAAAAGTAAGTCTATCCACGGCATTTTTGTCGGGTAAGGAATCAAGCCCCCTCCCTTTGCTTCAATATTACTTTGTAGACTAATGGGCGTCTTGATGGATCGTTGTCTATCGCTCCTGTTAATTGGCTGTCTACCATCGCTGGAGGTCCATTTAAGTAGTCCCGAAAGACGGCTGACCCCGCTCCACATTGTCTCGCTTCTTGATCCGACAGCACAGTGGTTTTCTCTCTGGATGGTTTGTTGACTGAGTTTTTTTTTCCGTCTCCGTCTTTCTTTCTCTCATGTTAGGCGTTTTAAGCTCCTTAATAATGCTTTAGCTATTAATGAAAAGGCTGTATAAATTCGCTGTAAAATGAGCATACTGATGGCTGAAATGTGACGTACTTACGGATTTGTATGCTTTGGCCTTTGAAGTCGCTGATCTCCTGCACTTTGCCCCTGTCATTCGTCAATCCCTCGACTGCTGGTCTTTATCAATGAAATTTTTTAAATCAAAAATAAGAAGAAAGGCTGCGTTTTATGTGAATTTTTTGTGTTTAAGTAGATGAGTCAGACAGTGTATGCCCATTTACTCTGCCTTAGTTTTCAATGTAGTAATAAACTAAGTGCCTATTTTTTTGCAGAAATTGTGAACGGATATAAGTTTTACTTGCTAATTACATGAACTTTTGATGCAAAGTAGCTTCCCCAAGTTCATTGCCTTTATCCTAATGGGCTAAATGACCTAAGTTGCTTCATTTACTCCGTCATTTGTTGAGTGATTGAACTAGACATCTTGAAAAAACTCTTTGCCAGACATGAATTCTTGTCATTTGTGGAGGTGATTTATTGTTTGTGTGCGCCCATTTTCATTATAGAATGCGTTGTCCCAATTCCGATTTTGCTGCTATTGCCGATGATAATAGGAGGTAGTTAAGCATTGTTTATTAGTTAAATACGCTTTGATGGCAAGGAAAGCGAGTGGATGCGAATTCGTGTAGTTTTTCGTCTGACCCATAAATTATCAACAATATGGAAAATTGTTTAACTCGTCTAATTAGTTTCGTTTACATGGCCAATGAAACGATCGTTTTTCAAACCCACTTTCTAGTTGAAAACAGGATAGACAAAAGCCTTGTAAATTTTATGATAAAAGTTTCAAATTTGATCTACCAAGATTTATTATCCATTGAAGGTGCTTTTTTTTCTGGAAATATAGTGCTAACTTATTTTTAGAGGGGTGCCTATGGATGTCGACCGATGCTGAAGAGACTTACTAAAAACAAGCAGATAGTGAGTCTTTGACCAAAGAGCAAGTATTTTTTTAATGAGACTGTATTATTTGGAAAGAGACTTTTTACAGTACTGACATATCTTTTAGGTTTCGACGTGGATGACAAGCTGTGTCTGTGTGTTTCTTCGTAAGCCAGGTGAGGCTTGTGCTATCTCATTTCAGTAGATTTCTCCAAGAGTATAATTTGCATGAATAAGGGCACTTTGACGACGCAATCAGCTCTTTATACACTTACAAATTTGACAATTAGTCCTCAGTAAGACTTCAAATTCAAATAGGTATCTTAATGCATTTTTCCACATGGTCATTTTTTACCGTATTTCCGTATAAATTAACATGTCCTTTTGAAGGTCCCTTTTTATTTAATCACTTTCATGAACCAGCATTTAGCTGATTGAAATGAAGGCGTGCATCTGCTATTAAATTTGCTGGAATTGTTCGGAATCAATTTACGCACTTCTGGTAGTTGCACGAAAGGCCCCTAAGTCCAACCAACACTTGTGGATTTGTAAGAAAAAAAAACAAATTTCAAGTTTTAGCGTTTGAACTCCTCTTTGCTCGTAGTCCCTGACTACATTTGTTCCAGCACATACTGGCTCAGTGTCACATTAATGTAACTCTCTCATTTTTCATAAATCAGTCCACATTTCACCCAGGTATGAATTGGAAATGAAATGGACAGAACAACAACCATAAATTTTTCCTCTAGTGGAGATTCGGGCAGCGAACCTGGTAACTAGTACCTAGAAGGCAACTTTGTCGTAGAAAGACCTGTCGTTCCCCCTTGGGAAAGCAAGATGGTCTGCTTCAGTTAGTCACCTTTGCTGAAATATTGGCTTTCGCATGCCTCCACTTCTTTGATGCTCGTTTTGATTCTGGGAGGTAAAAGTTGTATCCTGCTCCCGTTGCATGCAAAGATGCGATACACAGAATGCTTCCTTGACCCGGTGCGGCATTCAACCTTTCTGTGTTAATCAAAAGTGAAGGGCTGTTATAGGATATCCAGTGGTCATAAAAAGCGATATTATTGCACGCCGTTCCATACAGACATTACCAAAGTTGTCTGCCATCTTTACTAGCAACACCTTGCCTAGCTCACCATTTGTGTGCCTACTGTTTACTGCTGTTAGTAGTACCACCACAGTTGTCCTAAATGTGACTTTGTCTTTCCTGACCTTTTCTAAGAACTTCTTGTAACACTGTCCACAATAAGAATGCTTGGGTGCTTTCTTGTAGGATCTTCGACGCAGATAAACCGATCAAATTTTTACTCATGCTCTCATTTGGAGGCAGCTTATTTCCTACACTCTCTCCACGCGTTAACTACTCTTTTGTGTTTCCGTGAGACGCATAGCAAGATCCTTCCCATCACCATTTCCAAAGAAGTGATTAAACAACTCACCGATCGGGATAAGGCCACCCTGAGTGGGTAACTTTCTATTTTCAATTCATGAGTGACAATGCCATGTTAAAACTGTTGTGGTATTGTAGTTAAGGGGAAGGCACTACCTACGCGAACGTTCATAAAACTCTTCGTCGAATTTATTCTCTCATTAAAGCACACTGAAACAACTGTCGATATCGGTAAGCTACCGGGTTAATTAGGTAGTACCGTCATAATCTTCTCCCTCTTTTGGTAAATTCCATTATCCTTTTAATCATTGAGGAGGTTCGAAAGTTTCGCAATTTAAAATGAAACACATCAGGATTTATGGCTAAGAATAACTCCATATAGACGTATAATTAGCCTAAAAGGGTAAATGAATACATTTTTTTAAATAAACCTCTGAGGTGACTTCATATATTTTGAGTAAAATGGATGCGGTTTCCTTCATTGCCTCACACGTAATTTATTACCACTACAAACTACGAATTTTACTTTCTTGACCTCCTAAAATACCGGGAACTGATTAATTTATAGGCGGAAAAACTCTTCACCAACTTGTGGATAAATGCTTTCAGCGTTTGGCTCTATCCCCGGTGGCAACTGTATTCTGCTTCGGACTGAGTGTTGACGACATACCATTATCAACAGCAAAACGAAATAAAAGGTTTTCCGGTTTGTCAAATCTTTCCAAAGACTCTAACCAATCAGTAATCGACATTGTGTTATTCCACATCCAAGTTTTTGTAGATAATCTGTTGGTGAGTTTCTTTTAATGTGTGGCACTTACTGTTGAAATTTCATAAATGCGCACTTATTTGGTTTAAGTAAAAGCAGCAATATGCGATATCTTTATGCGCATTTCTCCTGATTACGCAGAAGATGAGTGGACCCAGCGGGGAAACGGTGAATCTCAATGTCTGTGTGTTATCACAAGCTGTGGTCAACATCTGTTCGACTACACAGGGTCGTGAATACTTCACCCACCCAAAAGCTGCAAGGTGAGATGCACAACGAAAAAAATAGTACCTACTTCCATAACAAGTGAAACGCTAACCTCCAGACCATTCCATTCAGACAAATGCAGGTGATAGCCAAAATTCTGTCTAAGTGTCTGGAGGCGATTGCAAACACTAACCTTGAAGTCGCTTGTCGAGAAAGTGGCTCAGTTGTTGAGATTCTTGTGAAAGTCGTCGGCCATCTTTGTGACGCGCTCAGCAAAACGTTTCTCATTACTCACAGTCGGCAGATTCGTGGTCATTTTGAAGTTCCACAAAAAGTTTTGGAGCTCTTGAAAATTTTGGTGAGGCTTTGAATACAGTCGTTTTTATCTCCAATTGGATAAAACCCTAACAAAACCTCATCCCCGTTTTTATAGAGATCCAAACACAAAGAAACGTCGAACAAGTAAGTGTTGATTGTTCTCCGTCTGAGACATATTAAGAATAGCTTTCAGAAGGGACTTTTGTGAAATTAATGGGTAATTACCTTGAATTCCACAAAAAATATGTCCAGAATTAGGCTTTCATTACATAACGAATTCAGAGGTCTACTTTGAAAGGGGGATGGTCATTGTCTGAGCTACCAATGCTCAGAAAGCTATAAAAACCCAAAATTTGCTACTTAAAAGAATTTTACACTTTTTTGGCCAATCAAAAAAATGCCGATTCGCATTCACCACACTTGTGACAAGTTCGCTGCTGTCATCTGCCTCAGACTGCTGAAGATGTGTTTAGTAATTAAAAGCTGTCGTACCTGGCCTCTCTGACTCACTCAAATCATTTGTCTGCCACGCACAATTTGGTGCAACAAAGGTTATCATAACCACCTCGTGAAAGCACATCACATATATGTGATTTTGACAGCGAAATCGTTAGTTAGAGTTCAAATGCTTTGGTAATCTTTTAAGTACTTTTTTACATTATGGAATTTTAAACGTCGTGGAATTGTTTGAAAAATCGGTGGAGACCTTCCTGCTCGCTTTGTTGAAGACGCCAAGGGGTGTCCAATTGGTTGAAAGCTTCGGCCTTCTGAGTTACTGCACGCAGTCTCTGCTTTCGCCATTCAGTCTTGTGAGTAAA